TTTTTTTTTTTTTTTTTTTTATTGTAAGAAGTTAAATTTTGAGAAGGATAGGAAAGATAGAAGAAAAAATGGTGTTGGGGAAAGAAAACTTTTCTAATCTTCAATTTCTCCCCCTGCCGCTTGACGGTATTTTTTACAACAGCATCTAGTTATATAGTATAATAAAATATAATATATATATATGCATTTTTAACGAAACGAAAAAAGTAAAATGCTCTTACTTATCATTACTGATATCTAAAGAACTAACTGCTTTGTTATTGATTTAGACTATCAGACGGTACTAATCAGGTGGGGGGAAGAAGGAAGTAAAAGAAAATCTAAAAATTTTGCTTGATATCTTCTTAATTTTCTTGTTTTTTCTCTTCCTTTTTTTCTCTTTTCATCTCTTATTCATACATTTTTCTTATTTTTGTACATTGAAAATGGCATACGATTGATTGGTCTTTGTTCTGGAAGTAATGAGAGAAGCATATTTGGGTAAAGGGTTTGAGTAATTTCGGTTTTATGCGAGCTCAAAAGTGTTTTTCCACGAGGAAAGGTTCATTTTTTATTTGGCTTCGTTTAAGTTAATTGGATTCATCGTTTTAATAAAAATTTTTAATTTTTGAAATTTTCTTTTTTTTTTCTCTCTCTGCGATTGTCATTAACTTTTAGTTCAGAAGTTTTTTTTTTTGTTCTTTTGAGTACTGGCCTCGTTTCTTCTGGCTTATCTATTTGTTTGCATAATACAATTTTAACGACCATGGTCATGTTCATCATGATCATGGCGATATAGATCAAAAACCTGGAAATTGTTACAATATTTCCTCACGTGATCGAAACTGTTTTTTTCATTTTACTCTGATCATCTGAACTTAGTTTTATTAGACTAGAGTCTGATAGAAAAAAATGCGTTATTGAAGAGTAATTTTTGCACTAATCTCTGATCTTCAGCATTACCGCCGTTGCTATCGTTGCCCGTGTGATGAATGACGGTGATGATGATGATGACGATGTTGATGTTGATGTCGATTTTGATGATGGTCCCAGAAGTACGATAACAAACGATTTGTTTATACACTAGACACTATGTATTGGCCGGTAGCCTTGTTGTTCTTGACTTACCAGACGTGGTAAGCCTCATATGCCATTACTGCCGCTCTGCTGCCGTTACTATTGCCATTGCTGTTGCTGCTTCCATTATTTCAATTATTGGCTGCTGAAATTGTAGCATTTCCTACCAGTAATGATTGAAACTTACTGTCGTTGTGCTGCTGATATTTCTCTTCCAGTACTTGGGGTCTGACAGATAGTAGCAGACAGCTGTTGGCTGCACCAAGAGTATCCGTTCCTTCGTCCGTCCATCCATTCATTCGCAGTATAAGCCAACCATTTTGGCCAACTGCCTTCATCGTTGATACTGTTCGGCAGCCGCCGCAAACGCTTTGGAACGTCTGCCCCTTTGACTGATGCCAGTTGCCAGCATAATTTAGCCGTACGATTTAAGTTTTCGGCAGTGCAGTGGCAAAATTATTTTTTTTACTTAGGTGAAACAGTCATCCGTAATTATTATAAAAGTAAATGATACTTCTTGATTGCCTTTTGCTCTTTCTTTACGTCTTCTTGTTATCACTGCCTTTGAACGTCTTCTGCCCTTCTTCTTTTTTTTTTGTTGGAGGTACTTAATACTTTTTGGTCATGGGCCAGAAAGAGGTTCAAATTGAAGATTTTTGGCAAGTTTCTTCTACAGTTTTTTTTGCGTATTTTGAAGATGGAAGTACTGATGCGGCTTAAATGTTAAAATGTAATTTCGCAAAGTCAAAGAAGTATTTCTTTCCCGTCCTCTGTAGTTGAAAAAATTAATTAGCAAAACCGTACTTTTCTGTCTTTTTATCTTATTTCTTGTTTTTTTCTTTTGTTTTATTTTTTTTTATTCTGCTGCTTACTTATAGAATTTACACGACCAAAAATGTCGTTGTAAATTGGCTTTTTTTCTTACCGTTATTGATTCTCGCAGCTTATCGGTTACAATAGTGAAGTCAAAAACGAAGACAGTATTAATGTTTTGGTGGAAATTAGAAGTATTACACAGTGGCCATGGGGGGACAAGAAAAAACAACAGCAAATCGGCAGTAAGTATAACTGTTCAGTCTAAGTTCAGTGGTGCTGTGCTGATTAGGTATCAAAGAAGAAAATTTTACTATTGGAACAGTTCCAATTTCAACAGTTTAAGGAAAACAACTTTTTCCTCATGTTATTTTTGGAATACTTGAATTCTTAATGTTGTATGCAAATAAATATCTGCGTAAATAGATATAAAAGATAAGCAAAAGAAAAACACTGAAAACAAACTGTTTTTATAGTTGACAACAGAGGCAACCTAAAAAGCAGTTTTTTGCATTAAATGTCAACTTTTTTTTTCTTCTTGTTTTCAGCTCGTCGTATCCAAATTATTAGGAGACTGTACTTTTTACGCCCTCTTTAAAAAAAATTTAAAAATTTTACGTTTTCATTTTTTTGTTCATATTTTTGTGATTGAGAACAGTGACTGGGTGCTGTTTGGTTTTCAGATTCGCCCAAATAAAATAGTGAAGCAGTTAAAACTTTTGCCTGACCCTTTTGTTGTTGTTGTTGTTGTTGTTGTAATTTTTGTCGTCATAGTAGTGTGCGATACGTACGTTTCATCTACGCTTTCCTTTCAAAAACTTGTCTACATTTTGCGATTTGCCACTACATCAGTCAGTTTTTGTATCCACCAATACCCCAGGTTACATAGAAGTTGATATCAACTGATACTGTGATCATCTTAACAAAACAATATTTGGAGATTCTATTTATCTGCCCACCGTTCTAATTCCTCGTGTTAGATGAATTTAAAAACTTTTTCTGCCTTTTGTTACCTTTGTTTTAACCCTTCCATTCCTAATGGCCCCTTAACCAAGTCAGTAGCCATTTCTTCATCTGTTCCATACGCTTTTCACAATCCGTTTCTTATCGAATTGCCACTCCAGCCCAAAATCCACATTAACAGCTTTACCCGTATAGAGTGAACAACATTGAAATAGTTTATTTGAGACAAAAAAAAGAAAAGCGTAAGACAAAAAAAAAATTTTTGGAAATGAGTGCGGGAAATTGGTGGAATCGAATTAGAAGGACAGCAGGGAGAGGGTAGGAGGGCATTTATGGAAACAAGCATAAGGATGAAAAAATATTTGAAAAATTGTTTAGACCTTGTCCAAATTATTATTTATTTTTTATTGCTATAATTCTTTTTATTTGTTTTTCAAATATATTTTGTTATATTATATAAGCTTAAAAGAAAAAAGTTTTTTTTTAATCTTTTTTCAAAAATATTGTTTTTCTGCTCTCTGCTCATCTTAGCCTTCCCTTTGTTCTCGGTAGGAATTTTTTTTGTTGTTGTTGTTATTGCCGTTGCCGTTGCCGTTGCCTTTGCCGTCTGATCTTATGGTTGAAATTGATTTATTTCACTTTTAACATCACGAGTTTAAGTGGAGAAGAAGAAGAAGGAGACGAAGAAAAATGAAACGAAGCGATCGGAAAAAGTGCAGGAAAAAGAAGCCAAAACAAAGCAAAACAAAACTTTTCTGTATTAGTGTTTTTGTTATCGTTATTGTTATGTGTATTATTATTGCCGTTTTTTCTGCTTTCGTTTATTCATTCGTTCAGAAAAAACCTCATATTTTCCTTCAACAAACACACTCCTTTCTTCATTTGTCTTGTTCTATCCTTTTCTTTGTTTGTCAGGTTCATATGGATGGAGGAGGAGGGTGAGGAGAGGTGGGGGGAAGGAAGAGAGGAGATAACAGATTTAAAATGAGAAAATTGTAGTGGAATAATAGAAAAGCAAGAAAAAGAAATTTACTTAAAATTCGAAATTGTATTCATTTCTTATATTATAAACTGCTTTTCTTTCGCAAACATGTGTATTACTTTTCGTTATGATTTTCGTCGCTTTTTGTTGTTGTTGTTGTTGTTGTTGTTGTTGTTGTTGTTGAAGATGTTGGCTGTCGTTGAAGAAGTGGGAAACAGAAAAATTGAAAAGAAGAAAAAAATGATTATAATAAAGAAATAAAAATAAAAAAAAAAATGGAGGAGAACGAATATTTTTTCTTTTTCTTTTTGTAATTTGTTTTAGAAGAAAGAAAATAATTTTTCTGAACGGTTCTGATATTTTTTTTCGCTTTTTTTCATCCTCTTTGTTCTGCTGGCAGTCGACGGTGATGCTGCTGCTGATGATGATGCTGATGATGTTGATGATGATGTTGATGTTGATGTTGATGTTGATGGCTTTTTTCCGCTCTGAAAATCTTCACAGGATTTTGAAAATAATACTGCAAAAAGAAAAGAAAAAAAAAAAGAAGGATGACTTTGAAATGTTTAAAAGCTATTAAAATTCGAAAATGATACGTAATTTTGTTGTTATTTTTTTAAATGAAGGAAGGAAATAAAAAAAGGGGTCAGAAAGGGGAGCTACAAGGCTAAGGAAGAAGAGAACCGAGCTCAGTTTTGCAGTTGTATTTTGTATGCATTTAGTGAGATGTGTGATGATCACCCGTATTCAACTTTTGTTCGCAGTGCTGCCTTTTACGTAGTCTTTACATTTCATTGATGCTTCTAAAAATTGATGTTTTATCTGTGATAATAATTAACAGTTTTTTTTCATGCCTTTGAATTGGATTCTTGTCGTTTAGGTCGTTAGGAGAGCAAAAAAAAAAAGATCCAAAGAAGAAAGTTGAATTAAGCATCGGAAGAGAAACGAATAAATTGTTGTCCTTGAACAAATATAACTGACTACTGATAATACTAATTAATTTCCTATTTGCAGGGATTCTGATCTGTTCAAAAAATTTTGATTTGATTGAATCTTTGGTGGAACAGCAGCTGGCAGTTGGCGGATTCTGTAATTGTGGACAAATGAAATGTAACTTTATAATCTTATGAAAAATCATTGACGATATTTTGTCTCTTTATTTATTCATATACTTTTTTCCCTTCATTTTCTTCCCCCTTTTGTTGTTTATGAAAATATTATGATGAGAGATCATTATACAGCACTATTTGAGAAAAAAAAAATAAACAGAGAAATTAAAATAATAAAAAGTTCAACTCTTTTGTATATTATAAAATATACCTTTTTTTTACATTTATTTGTTAGTAATCGGTCACGTAGAATTAATTAGTTTAAAGTTGAAGACCAAAAAAAAAAAGAAGGGAAAGCATACAGAGCGAAAGAAGGAAGTTATAATTTACTTGTTGACTAATCATTAGAATTCAGTGAATTAATTATAATTACTCTGAATCAACCAATAAATAATGTTTGAAAAGAAAAAGCGGTAGAAAATTGTTCAAAGAATTACATATTTTTTAAAACATTTCTGGAATTCTGCAGCAAAAAAAAAAATTAGTTGATACGGACTGATAACTCAGTGTTTATTTGGGGCGTTGTCTTTATCAGTTTCTATTTTGTGCACCTAATTTTTGTTCTTTGCTATTATACACTGCAAAAGTTAATCCCTATTAATTAGAAAAAAAAAACGATTCTAAAATAGTTTTATGCTGTTAGTTGGTGACAGATGGTAATGGCAGCAACGAACAAAGTTGATGCTATAATTTGGGGGCTGGAAAAGGAACAGGAATAGGATGATGGCGAAAGCTGTCGAAGAAGGTGAAAGGGAAGTGAAGAGAAGCTGTTAACGACGACAGCTACCGATATTAATATTGTAGGAAGGGGGGGGAAAAAAAGGAGACATTTGTGTAAATTCAAGAA